AGTTTAGGACCTCCTGGGTGTTTGGCTCGACTGTGACACTTAACCTCTCCTGCGCGTGCGCTCAACTCAAGAATCACTATCCTTCACAATGAGTAAACCAGCTCCTCTCTCCCCAGCCCACAGGGATCTGACCTAAGCTCTAGCTTAGAGCCCCTGGAGAGCCAAGTAATTAAACAGAGCCTTAGGAGACCAGCTCAGGCTTAAACATTGAGAGGTTTCTTCCAGGGAGTGTGTGGCAGAGCCAGGAGGTAACGAGAGGCCAGCTCCTACCCCAGGCCCCAGTTTTCCTTGGCAGAGACCTGGGTAGCCGGCCACGCTGGCCCGCTGCCTTCTCGCCACATCCAGAGATTTCATGTATAAACAGGAAAGAACATAACCTCCCACCCTGGCAGATTTGGGTCAGCAAACGGGCATGATTAGGCACAACTGCTGCCTGCACGGCAGTCGTCTGCTTGGAAAAGCCTGCAGGTAAAGGTGAGATACACCACAGGACCTCCCAATCCTCAGCTTATTGCTGAAGTAATATATATTTACTAGAGATACGTGTTTACCTTGAAAAAACTAATTTTACCTGGTCAGGTCTCCTGTGGACTAGTCATTTCAGAAGAAGCGCACAGCTACACTTGCATTCGCAGGATTGGGACCTTATTAAACCACATCTTCGTATGCATATAAAGCATGCCTTGCAGGCCTGAAGAGTCTAGAGCCGGATTATTGTAGCTTCGCCAACTGAAATTTCCATGTGACTCATAAACAGCCAGATAAGTAACGAGCAGACTGACAGTGGCTCAAAGAGCTAACGAAGCTCTGAATTGCAGGACTGTGGATCTATTGGCACTGAGCAGGAGATTTCCAAATAGAGCATTTAAAGGTGTACAGCATTAGCTATGAGATACGTTTAGACTTGGAGCTTAAGTACATGGTCAATATAGATATACGGACTAAGCAATTAACAAGTAAAAAGAGCATGAAAAGACACAGACAGAAGAAGGTGACAGGACAGAAAATAACGTGTGAGAGACTGCGTGATCCCAATAGCAAGAACCGATGAAATGTGTGGAAATGGAAAATGTGCCTTGGAGTTTGGGCTGCTGGAGTAAAGAAGGTAGAAGAGAACAACATCCCAAACCTTTGCAATTCCTGCATTTGTCCTGTGGGAAAGCTTTAAATTTAACAGTGTGGCTTAATGCTCTCTCTTCAGCCCTGTTTTGGCTTTGAAAAGAGATGCTGTCAGGATAATCCTGTTACGCTGATCCTTAGCATGGTAGCATGAACGAGACAGGTGAAACGCAAGGCAGAGTGGGGTCCCTTTCCCTGTGTGCAGAGCTTTTTGGGGACCGTGGCTGCTTATCAGAGCAGCTGGTTTTTTTGCCTTTGACCCTAGACTTGATTGTATACATAGCTGCATGTGCCAGAATAAGGCTTCCCAGGCTGGAAGTACTCCACTTTCTTGTGATAGGATTCCAAAATGCCTTACAGATTATGTGCAAAAAGTCACCTGTCCACTAAGAGGGTGCAGCTGATACGGCACAGGAATAAGCCCCCAGGCAGAGTCTATTTTGCATCCTCCCTCATCTCATGACACCTCAGGATACCCCCATTCTTTGCTTTTTTTTTTTTAGCATTTTTTTTCCAGCGTTTTATTTACACTGCAGTTTCTAGCAGTCACTCACAAAGGGTGGCTGCTCCTAGCGCTTCTGTTTGGAGGCAGGAGAGATTCTGACAGAAACAGAGGGATGTAGTAAAATTAGGAATTTTGTGGAAACTCTGGTCTAGCTTGGGTCTGGTATCAGACATGTTTAAAAACTAACAACATGTCCCTCTAGACTCTAAGTGTCTGGGTCTTCCAACTAGACATTTAAATGTTGTGCAGAGAGACAATTTTTTTAAAACCCACCCTGGTGTTTACTGTTGTCCAAGCGCAACCTGCTCCAACTCTGTGCCAATTTGTCATGGTTGAAACAAAAGTCTGTCCTATTCCTGCTAGGGGAAAAAAAAAAAAAAAAAGATGTCACAATAAGCTACCTGTGTTATCAATTTACAGCAGGGGAAATGAGTAATAAGTTCTTTGGTCAAAGCTGCAGAGGGATGAGTTCCATAATGCATGAACATCCAGCTGGAGCCATGCCAGGGCACAAGGATTAAAAGCAACCCAATTCCTAACTCCAGTGAAAAGGATGCATGGGACATCATTAAAATAATAATTTAGTTCTACAAATTCCATTCTTCTATTTAGTTCTACAAACGTAGTTACAAAGTGAGAACGTGCCCTCTCTGAAAGCACTACATGGCTCCCAGACATTGGGGAAGCATCTCTCCTTTTTCTCTTCCCTGCTCTGCTTTCCCTGATCAGCTGGACTCTGCCTGCTTGCAAAGAGGTAAAAAAATATTAAGACTGGAGATGAATTGCTCCTGTGCTGCCTCCAAGACACGGGGTCCTGATCAACTCTCTCCCTGCTTACAAACCTCCCGTTTGTACCACCGTGGGGGACAGGCTTCTCAACGCCTCCTGAGCAGTGAGAAGGGGAGGTCACACTACGCTCAGCGACTGAAGAAGGGAGGCTCAATCTCCTGCAGCGCCTGAAAACAAAAACATCTCTCAACACAACCATTTGTAAGACAGCATTTCTTTATTGCCTGTACTCTGCGTGCACACTAAGAAAACATGCTTAAGGTTGTACATTAAAAAAAACCCGCATGGTAATTCTTGCTGTTGCAGTATGACAGCACTGATAAAGGTAATATAATACATAGACTGGCCCGTATTTGTGTGTCAGCTGTATTTCACACCTTCGTCTTCACGTGCTCTGTACACAGTGTGGGAGGTGCGCCTTCAGACCACCCTCACAGACTGGCTACTGCTCTCTTCTTTCTGCAGCGACTTCCCAAATCCTGCTGCTGCAGGTAAGTAAATGTTAGCGTTACAGATGTGCCCCGACTGATGCCAGTTCTTAGTCAGCATCACTCCTTATTAACCTGCAACTGGAGCATGAGGCAGAGGAATCGTTGACAGCAGCTCCCCCAACTCCAGTAGTGACCTATTCCACGGGTGATAATGTCCATGCTCCTTCACACCCACATTGGCTAGAAAGCCACATCTGTGTTCAGATTACAGATGCTTTCTGAAAACAGAGAGGATTTCCCTTCCCAAACATCGTTTCTTGCAAACACAAGCCCTTCCACTGGCAGCACGGCTTGTGTTACTTTAAGACTCCAGACCAGCTGCCCTGGTTCCTTCTGGACCTCTCCTAATTTTCTGATTCCCAGTCTCTGGAAGGTGTTACTGCACTTGAACACAGCGTGAACCACAGCCAGCCAGCAGTTAAGGACTGAGCAGGAACTTACTACTTTTAGCTATTCCTTTTAGTCAGGAATCCTGCTCTTCCAGAGAAAAATTTCCTCTTTCCTATCAGGAGTAAAGGGCACTGGGAGGAACCATGGAAATTCTTTGTAACGCTGATGGGCTGAAGGTGAGTCAGAGCACTTTTCCTGCACGGGGTATTCCCAGAGAAATTTGTGCAATAAACAGACATTCAGAGTAACCACCTTATCCCAAGAGAGGAAAAGACAAGGTTGGGGGGGACTGCTTCACAGCCGCAGCATCACATCTTGCACCTAAAATGTCAAAGTCACATACAGAAACAGGCTCAAAGAAGAAAGGACACAGGGTGTTACCAAGAAAGAAAAAAAAAAAAGAAAGAAAAAAAAAAGAGCTCACTTAGTCCCACAAGGCTTTAAGAGCCACAAAGCAAAAAGCATCACCCCTCAGGGAACATGAGGGGCTTTACGCCCAGGTACAGAGGGGCGTAAAGTGTGCTTTTGGGGCCAGTTCCTACCTCATCCCGTGCCTCCCCTCGCCCTGCTTCGCCCCACTCCTTAGTGACAAGAAGGCCCCTTCCAAGCGGGAACGGTTTCAGTCCTGCTTTTTCTCAGGCCCTTCACCGGGAAAGCACAGTTATCGCACAAGGTCACCGCAAGAGAAGCAGCTTCGCTAGGTATGTTTCACACAGGCAGCTGCCTTGTACTTCCAGCCCAGGGACATCTGAAAGCACCGCGGTCACACTAGCAGGGTGGGATCTTTCAGTCCTGCAGATAATTCAAGTTCCTAGTTGCTGGAGATTCTTCAGGAAAGGATAAGAGAATGGGAGGAAACAGGCAGCATTCAGCCTTAAAACAGGCTATATATGGCCCTCCTGGTACGTACAGCCCAGCTCCTGCAACAGGTTCTGAATCGGCAGCACGTGCCAGCGCCTGCCAGTCCCAGGGCAACTGCTCCATGTTCTGTGAACGGCAACAGAGGGACAGTGACAACGTCCATTAGGGCAACAAAGTGAAGAAAGCCATCGGGATGCCTTGTTTTATCAGTTCATACTATATCCACGTACGGAATCAGTTAACTACGATAATGGCAAGTAATTTTGCTGTAAATACAGGGCCTGATCCAGATCTTACACGAACTGATGGAGGTTTCCCTCCTTACCACAGTGGGCTTTCAGCTGGGCTCTGCTGTTACAGAACCAAGAGGAGATGCTGCTCTCTGAGACGGATGGATCACTACCTAAAGCTAGGTCAAATTTAAAATAATTTCTTTCTCTCTTACACTAAAATTCTGTTTAACACAGCACCTACTGTGTCCTCTCTCTGCTGCTAGGCCACTTTGCCAGAAAGAAAAGGAACAAGACTTCAACCTTTTACAGGGAAGCGACCTCTCCAGACAGAAAGACCAGTTTGTGCTATTAGCCAAGACCAGCCGAATTCCCCCAAAGAAGCAGAGGTCTCCAGAGACCACGGCTGCATGCAGGGCTGGGCAATGGAACAGTGCAGATCACGTCCACATTTTGGCCTGATTTAGTGCTTTGAAATTCCCAGATGGGGAAAAGCTGCAACTTCCCCCCGAGCCTCTGCAGAGCTGATACTGTCAGATTCGGCTTGATCGAAAGGAACCCCAGCTTCATGAAACACCGTTGGCAATGTGTCTCTTGCTGACAGATCGATGTGCCTTATGTGCAGCACCCTTTCCTCCTGCTGACATCTTCCAGCCGCAGGGCATTCTCCCTCTGCCTGTCTTCTTGTGCTGTCAGCAACCTGGAACAAGGCACCACAGGTCAAGAACACAACCCAGTTATTGAGATCTTCCTGCCAAGGCATTTGGCTCTGCCTTTTGCTCCCCCATCAGCCAGGGACATTTAGGATTGTAAAAAGCAACTGACTCAAAGACCGGGCTTCTCTGGAAATTGGGCTAGATAAACCACATGCAGAAAATGAGCATGAATTTCCAGGGAACAGGGAAAGAAACTGGACACGTACGAGAGGGAACAGCGTGGCTTCGTACTTGAGCACCAGACCGGGGGGGGGGTGAGTGGTCTGTGCTTTATTCCCAAGCTCCCACATTGATGGCAGAATCCTGGGCTGTTTGCTTCACCTGTCTGGGCCATGTTGGGTAGCAGCATGGGAATAAAGCATGCTGAAGGCACGTGCTATGGGAGATATGATTTACCTAGCTAGTAAGTAAATCATCGCAGTTAATGAACAGCTAAGTCCTGCTGTGAATTTAACAGAGATGATGCAGCAGGAGGTGAAGGGATAAAAGAAAACAAAAGGATATTTTTCTTGCATGGTTTCAAAGATTTTTTTCAGAACTACTTGCTTTTTTAAAAAAGGAAAAATCTTACAGCAAACTTTTTAGCCTTACAAAGTGTCTTATCTCCCTTTAAAAATATTGCCACCAAAATACCACATTCTGTATAATGCTTGATAAGATAAGGAAGAAAAAAAAACTTAGAGATGCATGCAGACTTCAAACTGAAAATGCCAACTTTAAATCTGGGATAGTACACAAGGTTTTTGTGATGAAATATTCAAATTAAACTCCCAATCTTTCAACAGCCAGCTCTACCAGGCCAAGCTTTGCATGCAATAGCATCCAGCGTACACTTCGTGCTCTCCAGGCACAGAAGACAAGGACCTGGAGGCAGGGAGAAGAGTACATTGCTCCAGGTCTTTTTTTGTGCCATGGCAGAAAGTCAGTCTCTGACAGCCCCCTCTGCTTGCCCAGGCCCCAGGAGAGCCCACACCACTGGGGAAATATTCCAGGGTGATTGCTCCTGTTCACTGACCTGGCCATGTGCAGCATGGGCTCCATGATGTTATAGCCAGTCATTGCACTGCACTCGTAGAAGACAGCCTTGTATTCCTGCCAGAGAGGACAGCAAGCACCCATGTTAGCTCCCAGCTCTCCCCCACCATTCACCCACAGCCCTGGGAGCTGGCCCACCCTCCCCACCGGCAACTCTGCCGAGAGCAGTTGAGACCAGGAGGGCAGCTGTTACCACCCTGCCACACTGGAGGAGTTATTTAGGAAGGGAAAACATCTGCTTGGGATATTTGGATTCCCTTATCTTTGTGTGGCGGAGTCCAGAAGATGGGGAACACCTCTGAACCCCTGCCTCCTCCCACCCAGGGGCCAAGGTACCAGTGGGCATGCAGACACAGGGAGTGCAGAAGGAGGCAGGATGCTTTTGCAGAGCATGCATTAGGGGAGTCCAGAAATGGGAAAACAGCCATGCGTGCTCTCCTCAGAAAGACGGAGCATCACCTGCTGACCATCACCTCATCCTCCCTGGTACCAGAGGGACCTCGCTACATGTTTACATTAGAGGAAAAGAGGGCAGGAGCGGAGAGGGAAGGTACCATCCTGGGAAATGGCTCCGAGAAGGGCTTCCTGCCAGCCAGGCTGCCCTGCTCACAGCTGGACGGAGACTGCAGAGCAGGTTGAGCACCAGAGCACAGAGTCCCACCTTCGCCAGCCTTTCCCCCTCCACCTTGGGCACAGTCCGGGTCTCTCTCTGTGCAGCATCCATTTTATTTCCAAGCAGAAAGACCACAGCTCCATCCTCGATACCTTCCTGCAAAAGAAACAGAGTAAAGCACCCTAGAGACTCAGCTGAGGGAGAGAAGGGTCTTGGAGCAGATCCTGTTCTAGCTCACGCAAACAAGCCCTTCAGTGGCAGCAGGATCCGGCCTTTTAGCTCATTAAAGGGCCATTCCTCAAATAGCCCCAGGGATTTGTGGAAGGAAGCTTAAACTATGGGAAAGTATTTCAAATGGTTGGTATACACAGCTGGGATGCTGAGAGAGGGGAGACAGGACGTAAGTTCCTCTCTGGGAAATAAAAAGCCTAAAGAAAAAAGCAGTTTGCCTCATAGGCTGTTGGGAATTTAAGTTCAGGCAGAGCTTAAATAATTTTGGTGCGTATGTGTGGTACTATTTGTGTGATGTGCTGTCCTAAACTCAACGATCCCTTGCTGAAAATCCAGTTTTCAACTCTGGTACAGGGTGTCTGTAGGAACTGGTGATTCCTGCGTCCCATTACCTTTGGTAAAATTCCCTCTAGTTCCACTGGCTCACTAGAACATCACCAGAGTAAGAACTGCAGAACGGGGCTCAAAGTGATTTCCAAACTCGACTGCCCTGGATGACTTACAGTACCTGAACAGCTTCAAAGCAAGATAAATACTAAGGTGGGAAAAGGAAAAGAAGAGAGATTATTAAAAGTTACAGATTTCAGGTGCTTTGATTTTCTGTATGCTCAGTTTAACCTTCCTGAAAGGAGCTTGATTTTCAGAGGCTGGTTAGTTTTGAAAATCTTAACCTTTGATCTTTCAGAGTCCAAAGAAATAGCTAAGTAGTGTTTTTTTCCCCCTCCTCAACAGGCCTGTGGAAGTTAATAATATTAGAAACCTCCAACCTATGCTTATTCATTTCACTTAGATCTTGGGTTTTGAGACTCAGCACAATCAAAACAAAACCACTCTTGAGAATTTCCCTTCAGCTCTGAGTCATCTACACACAATTTATTTAAATTATACAGACAGGTATTTTTGTCTCTCCAGGCAGTTACAAGCCACAGATGAATGCTTTTATTGAGAATTTGGAAATAAAAAGCAGGGGGAGCAGACTACAGTATTAATACATAGTCACCAAATAAGAAAGGGAAAAAAAAAATCAACTTAAAGTTGAAGCAAATGAGAGGGAAAAAAAAAAGTTATTACTAATATTTCAGTCTCACCTAGCAATCTCAAAGCAGAGTCAGGATGTGATTGTGCGAAGTGCTGTGCCTGCACACTGCAGGTCTGAGACTAAATGCACCAGGGCCATCTCCCTTTCCTGTGCATAGGCTGGACACCAGGAGATCTCCTTGCCTGGGCACCAGTGTGACGTGACCACATTTAGGAGACGTTGCCAATGCACATGGGCTCCTTACAAACACACAATACTGTTCTGGCATAGAAACAACCCTCCCTCATTTAATGGGCTACCACTGGCTTTGGTATCTTCAACAAGAAGCCCCTGGTCCCAAACTGACTGCCGCAGGCAGTACCCATAGCATCTGCTTTGATAATTCATCTTCCCAAGGTCAATAGGACCTCCTGAGGCATTGGAGAACACTGCTCCGAGACAGAGTGATGGAGCTGATCTGGAGCAAGGCAGTGGCAGCACCACCAGTGTTAAGAGAGCCAGGGCCCCGCTCTCACCTGGACACTGCTCATCCAATTTCGCACCGCCGTGAAGGAGCACTCAGCCGTAATGTCATACATCACCAGAATCCCATCTGCCTTCCGAAAATACTGCTTGGTAATGCTTCGAAACCTGAGCCCAAACGAAACCAAAGGCACTCTCAGAACAACGGTTGTGTAATGACAAGAAACAGAATGGGATTTTCTGTCTTTTAGTGCAGGCTCTCTGCAAAGCCTGGCAGCCCCTGTGCCTGAGATGTGTCCCCTGGGGCTGGTGGGTGCAGACTTGGTGAGAGACAGGTCAGATCCTTGCACCTTGGAGGAAGGCCAGGCAGCCGTGGGTAAGCAGGAGACTTTCCAAACACATTGTACTGAGAAAGCAGGAAGGAAGACATTTGCAGGTCGGGAGGAAAGGAATAGAAGAATCTGTTTAGGTGGGATAGGAAAAGGTAGTCGCCTATAAAAACGGAAATGGATGGAAAAAACCACAACCTTTCTCTAGAGTCTGGAAGAATCTGCAGACTAAGTTGTACCACAGTATAAACTAGGCCTGCGTAATGTCTGCCCTAGTGCTGCCAAAACAGCAATTAAGATCTCAGCATCAATACACTCTGTTTCCAGTTTTCAATCTATAAAGCAATGTCATCATACATAAAATCAGCAGTTAGATACAATTTCCAGGAGAAACTCCCACCAGACTTGTACTTTGTCCTGTGGGTACCCGTTAGAACCACAGACTTGTATTTTGGAAATAAATTTCAGCAACAACAAACCCAAACCTTAAAATCTGTAAGCAGTTTATGACAGGGCCCTGATATAACCACAATGATTGCGAACTGATGGAATTAAATGCAACACAAGTACTGACATCTCACTGGAGACCTCTGTATTTCAGCCCTGTACGTGATAACAAGCTCTCCTGTTCTATTAAGAGCCCAGAAAACCTACAGCAAGTACTGACCCTTCTGAACTCTTCAGATGATTGCCTGTAGCCTGTTCTTTCGCACTACAGTAAGGGCACGACACCCTGGCAACTACCCGACTGAGAAAGCACAGGCTCTGTCTCTGGCAGTTAAGGTGCACCTCTGGAACTACAGACAGGCTAGATGCTCTAGAAGAAACATCAAATGTAGCGTGCCCTGGTCTCAGGGAATTCACCAAGGAGTTCTCCTTGCACGCTCCAAGGGGTTCCTCTACCTCTTCCATAGGATATTCACAGTTGGACACCTCCAGTTAGAAGTAAATAATATTTCTCTAGAAGTAAGAAAAGCTTTTGCTTCCCAGGTCTCCTATTCAGTAACAGCATTGAGCCAAGTTCTCTCTTGCAAGTCCAGGTCTAAGACCTGCTAATGCTGCAGGGACCTACCCTAAAGGTCCTTCTGCAGAGACAATATCTTGAATTTGGCCTCGGATGCAATCTGGCCTCAGTAAAATGTCACATTTCATGTCATAACAACTCCTCTTACTGCTCAGCTTCAGCACCGAAATAACCACAGGAGTCCCCTCAAAAATCATCATTTCTTCAGCATGAAGCTTGATTTTTGGAAGGAACAGTTTGCTTTTCAGTAGATACTCCTACTTAGTACATTCCCACCAGGTCTGCACAGTCTAGCTGACTGAGGTAGACAGCATCATTACTCTGTTGGCACAATTTAGGATTATAATATTCCCATGACCTCGGCTGCCTCCTGAAGGCCTGCCCCCATGACATATTTAGCCCAAAATACCCAGGATTTATTCTTTCCAGGCTCTTGAAGTTAACAGCCCCCTTGAAATAGCTTTTCAGCTTCAAAGTGCATCCTAAATAAAATCTAATTTACATGAAGGTAGTGGTGGGCCTTCATCGTCTCTAGTAGCAGATGAGGGTCAAGTATGTCCTCTATTACTCTGATCCTCACCAACAGTGCTGGTAACATCTAGTGATGGCCCATGCTTTTGAAACTAGAGGCCTTCAAATAGGGAACCTGTACTCAGTCACAAAAAGCTCTGCTGTCCCTCTACCAAGGATTATCATTACTTCCACGAGTCTGTCGGCAGAAGGGACAGTGGAAGGGGCCAATAACCTCACTGACGGAGTCCAGCAGGGTAGTTCAAATCACCTTGCCTGCAGGTCAAGGTAATTCAGCTGGCTTTGTCCAAATTGGATCTGGAAAGGTTCACACGCTCCTTTCGACCCTCTGAACACCAAGTGGTGGTGGTGAGCAGCTGGGGACCAGCAGTAGCACAACTGAATCCGAGAACAAGATGTCTATCCAGAGCCTTCATTTCTATCCTAATCCGCAGCCCTGTCCTGCAGCTTTTCCCAGAAGCAGGCTGATGCAAGAGAGCTTTGAGGGCCCGAGGAGCTTCAAACCCCACACCATGCAGTGATTTATGGATCGACTCCCTGAAGCCACAAGCATGCAGGTCAGACATATGAAAAACTACTTTTCCGTCAGTCCTCAGAGCGACCTCCCCAGGTCCCGCTTCGCAGCCACGGCTTCTAGAAATCTCCGAAACAGACCTTTGCTGCAGGTTCAGCACTGGAATAGCTGCTGGCACCTCTCTGGTCCTTCTGAAGCTAACAATTACCCCAGAGACAGAAACCAGCTGCATGCACTCTTT